GAGACGAGAGACATCCCGTGCGTGTTCCACGCGCACAATGCACATCTCTTACGGTACAGAGCTTCACTAGGGTAGCGCTAGGTAGGTTCAGGCTTGAGCACGTGAAAAACTGCTTCCAGCTCGCGTAGGCACGTACGTGGTGGCGCCACCATTCATTTCGATCTCATCTCATCATGATCGAGTACTACTAGACTAGAGCCAGTGGTATGCCCAGTTGCCCATGATCAATCTATCGTGATAAGGATCGATTCGTCACACCATTTATCAACAAAACAAAACAAAGCGTCCCTCCCTTCCCTTGAGAGACAATCTACTACGGGTATTGCAAATAAATTAACCACCCAGCAGTCCACGGCAAAACCACACGCGATAGGATGGGAATGGTAACCATCCACCCATGGTGCATCACATACTAAACCTTTTTTTTAACTCCTCCACCCTTGGTGGTTATCTAATGCCCTAGTTAACTTAGGCTTTCTTGGTGCCCCACGTACGTACGGGGCACGTCAACACCATTTCATTCATGTATAACAATCCTGCATACCATTTTTTAGGCAAAGACAAAACAGGGATAACCAGGTAGGCCCTAGCGGAGCCCCGTGACACAAGTGCCAACAATCTTCTCCTCTCACTGTCATAGCCGAAACAAGCTTCTCAAAACTGTGCCATGTTTTGCGCCCTCATCTTACAACACACGGTATCACAACTGCTGTTTAAAACTTCAAATCCCAGAGTGACGCTCTTAATTTCGGCAGGGAACAGCCACACCCACACGGCCACACCAACTGAATCCCGATCCAGACGCAGCAAAGCAACAATAACATAGTTCTCACAGATATGAGCCATGAGCAGCCCTGACAAGTAGACGAGGCGAGCCATGTTAGAGCATTACTAGTAGTACCCCTAAACCCTCATAAATAATCGCTTTTTTGCGGGTTGCAACAAAAAAAACGCAAAGACTAGAACCCCTAAACCCTCAAACTCTCAAAAAAAGTAAGGGTCCAACCCTCAAACCCAATTTCGAACCGTAGAAGTGAGGGTTGGAGGGGGGCGCTCGACCCCAGCCCGCACTCCCTTCCCCTGTCGCGCGGGAGGGAAGTTTCCCGTCCCCAACCTCCCGCTTCCTCCCTCCCAAGCCGTCGGCC